TCTCTCTCTCTCTCTCTCTCTGTCTCTCTCTCTGTCTCATTGTGTCATATGGATTACTGTTAATTTATTATGTTGATCTGTTCTGTACGACATCTATTGCACGTCTGTCCGTCCTGGAAGAGGGATCCCTCCTCAGTTGCTCTTCCTGAGGTTTCTACCGTTTTTTTCCCCGTTAAAGGGTTTTTTGGGGAGTTTTTCCTGATCAGCTGTGAGGGTCTTAAGGACAGAGGGATGTCGTATGCTGTAAAGCCCTGTGAGGCAAATTGTGATTTGTGATATTGGGCTTTATAAATAAAATTGATTGATTGATTGATACTCAAGTACTCATACACATACTGCCTGATCCTTACAAATGTGGCTCCATTTAAAAGGAAATAAACAGGCTTTCCAACGATATAAGATTTATTGACAAGAAGCTTCGTTACAGCAAAGAAATAATCTACCAAACACACATTTCATTACTTTTTGTGCTTAGTTTAGATTCATGATGTGACGTGTACGTCCTGTTGATGCTCAGGTTGATCAGCTGCTAATAAAATCCTCCAGATAAATCAGGACAAGATAGAAAACCGTCTGAGTCTGAAGTTTTTACTCCAGATGTATCATGTGTTCACCTCCAGCAGCAGAGACTTGTTCATGTGTTCACCTCCAGCAGCAGAGACTTGTTCATGTGTTCATCTGTATTTTCTGTGTCCCTGCAGGTTTGAAGCTTCCAGACTTCCAGGACTCCATCTTTGAATATTTCAACACGTCCCCTCTGGCTCCGGACCTCACCTTCAGGGTGAGTCTGTCTGTCTGTCTGTCTGTCTGTCTGTCTGTCTGTAACTGATTCCTGTTCAACCAATCACAGTTCAGAACTCACCTAGCAGCAGGTCACATGATGATGATGTCACTATGATGACGATGATGTCACTCAGGTGTTGTTGTTTGTTTCTCTCTCCAACATGGAGGCGTCAGTTTGCTCCGCCTCCTCGCTGCTTGCTCTCTGGGAAGACGTAAGTTCATCCGTCAGGTTACCCACAATCCCCTGCACACTGCCCCCCTTACCCACAATCCTCCGGGGCAGAGAGCTGTCAGATCTAACCTCAGTCGTAGCTGCTAGCATCATGCTAATAGTTAGTCGTAGGTGACGTAGAGTGCAGCGACCTGTAACCACCACTGGTTTGATTGGCTCACCCGAGCTCCACCCACACACATAGGCCCCGCCCTCCTGCATTCAGAGCCTCGTTAGCTTTGTCCTTATGATGATTAAACCAGATGTGTCGCACTTGTCTGTTCTCCAGTCAAAGTACACACAGTGCAGTACGACAGTTTCACCACAGAGGAAGTACTAACAGTAGCTGATGGCGTGTTTACGTCATTCGCCGTCAGAGTTTCTGACAGGTCACATCCTGTAAAGTGTTTGATAATCAAACTCTGTGACAACCGTGTGTTTCATCAGCTCTTCTACATGTTGATATTTTACGTCATTAATCAGAAACACGTCTTTGTGTTCACAGGAAGTGCTGATGTGTACTTCCTGCTGATGTATCGGTCTGTTTATGATCACCGTCAGTTTTTCACCAGTCGTCAGACGGATTTAAATAGTTTTTATTGGTGGATCTTTAAACACACGTTTGTCACTGCTGTTAGTGTGTGTAGTGTTTATGTACACACTGTGAAATTTGTGTCTGTGTTGTTGTGATGTGTCGTAACGTGTGAACGCTGCAGGTTTGTTTTACGTTTTCATGACACGACGTGAACGCAGATCTGATGTCAGAGACAAACTGTGACACAGTGAACGTTACAGCTCCTCCTTCATTTAACTCAGGACAGTGTAACCATGGTAACACGACAGGATATTATGGTCTGTAATAGGCGCTGCTAGAGTCCTGCACGGATCCATTTTGAAAACCAACACCTGCCCACACCCATTAATAAAAGACCCCTGATCAAACCCCCCAGGCTCCAGTCCCTCACATGAAGCTGGTTCTCCGTTCTTGAATTGGACGTCTCTTTGACTGGATGGTGAAAACATTCAATCACTGCCAGGTTAGGAAACATGTTAGCATGCTCCTTCCACCACCATCAAACCTCCAAAGGATCCTCTTTGGGTGTCTTGAACTCCATGTAGGCTGCCACCTCATCCTCGGGCTGCAAAGTTTCGTGGCTGGAGTCCTTCACGTCGGTGACCAATGTGACCACGGGGTCAAAGGTTACACTGGTGTCTCTGACTTTCAAAATAAAAGCAACTGTCAGAATATTACTGCACATCTTTTTACTGCATTTTATCTGGCCGTTTCAACACGGTGCACCCCTTATTAGATTATTCAGATACATTTAAAGAAATACAAAGATCTAGTGCCTTCACACCGACATAAAACAAGATATAATATACAATGACAGATATACAGTTCACAATTCAACACAAAAACTCTGGCAGAGCTGCTGTCATAGCTGTGCGTGCGTGCGTGCGTGCGTGCGTGCGTGCGTGTGTCTGTTTATGTCTCTGTCTCTTCAATCGTTTCTTCTGTTTCACGTTCAGACCACAGACATAGACCCCAGCCCCCAGAAATCAGAGACCACGCCCCCCTCGCCCTCCACCACCTCTGAACATGAGGTCAGTCCCACACACTGATTCTGTCCACATCATACAGCTGTTCCTTTGTCCGTCACACATCCTGACTGTTTATCTGTTTGTGTCAACAGGAAGTTAAAGCAGCCTCAGTCCCAGCGAGCCCCTCCCCCCCCTACCAGAGCTCAGCACTGACCACACCAAAGGTATGCTGCCGTTTCCTGAGGTAGGACGTTGGAGGGGTAAGAGTTTGATATTAAACCATCGTGTGTGTGTGTGTGTGTGTGTGTGTGTGTGTGTGTGTGTGTGTGTGTTCACAGCCCAAAGCTCACCAGCTGAGCATCAAGACGTTCTCCAGTCCCACTCAGTGCACACACTGCACCTCTCTGATGGTGGGACTCATCCGACAGGGATACGCCTGTGAAGGTACACACTCACACACTCACACTCACACTCACACACACACACTCACACTCACACACACACACACACACACACACACACACACACGCTGAGGCAGCGGAGCCACCAGGTGGAAGCTGCTCCCAGGTAAATGTTGAGATGCAGCAGCAGTGATCCAGATCCTTCCTCTACAGTGGTGATATTCAAATTACCGCCCGTGTGCCAAATCTGGCCCAGGACAGGGTCCCTGCTGACCCTCCATCATTCTGTAGGTCACAGTGAAGATAAACTGATTGACACTGAGATTCTTTTTGGTTCTTTGGGTGTAAACAAGGTGACAGAGTTCATTAAAAAGCATCAAAATAGAGCTTGTTATAGGGCTGGATGATGCAGACAGAAATGAACATCTCTGTATTTTCAAATAATTAATTTTCAATAATTAAATTTAAATTAAATTTAGCACTGAATCTGTGTGACAAATGATATCAACCCAAAAATTGCGGCAACAACATATGAGACGTATTTGAGCATGGGAATAGCCGTCCTTTACTTCCATCATAATGTTCTAACTCCATATACACTAAACTTACATATACACATTAAGGTGCGGACACACCAAACCGTCATCAAAGAACTAGCGGCGACGAAAGCCAACTGTTGCGTCGTCTACGTCGCCTCACGTCGCCCTGTGTCAGTTGCATTTGAACACACTACACGGACTACATCCGACGGCCAAGTAGCACGTACGTTCTGCGCCTGCGTGAGATAGAGCGGAGTGAGAGAGTGGTACATCCTGTCAGCCGAGGGGTTTCCTATCTGTGCAGCCGAGCACCGCAGCACCTCCACGGACTATTACATCCAGACGGTCCCGGTGTTTCCTCCGCAGGCTCCACTTCACTCAGCTGCCCGATAAACCCGCTGCTTCTTCCCACTTTAACCTGAATAACAAACCAGGGCTCGGTGCTCCGGTTGGATCCAAACGGAGAGCCGGGGCTAGCTCAGAGACTAGCGGAGGCTAACTGGCTGCTTCCCTCCGGTCATGCTGCGGCTAACGCTCCGCTAGCCGCTCCCAGCTAGCTCCGGTTTGTTATTCAGGTTAAAGTGTGAAGAAGCAGCGGGTCTGTGGGGCAGCTGAGTGAAGTGGAGCCTGAGGAGGAAGCACCGGTTAGCCCCGGTTTCACTACAGGCAGATTCACTCGCTACAGGGGCGAGGAAATAAAACCTGAACAGCCAATCAGAGTGATCTCTCTCACCAACAAGCTCCGCCGCCGATTCAACATGCTCAATCGGCCGAAAAGGTGCGGGACACACTGCAAAAACTAGGGTGACAGACGCTCCCCGACGGCCCGACTTTGGTCGACGGCCGACTGTCAGCTTGGTGTGTCAGGGCCTTTACAGACGCCCGACCCAAGCAGAAACACTCGACACGCGGCGCTCAGCTGAATCTCAAGATAATCTTCAGGTTCCAGATTTCAGATGATGTAAACCACTTGTGTGAGACACATACTGTAGACCTGCTGTTTCCCCATAGGGACAGCTTGCATCCCACTAAAAAAGACAAAAATGGGTCCATGTGGGTCTCAAAGGGTTAATAAAGCAAGTATATTATCAACATTGTTTTTAGTCAGAACAGATCATCAAACTCTGATATGATTGAATGACTGACGTGTAGAGATGAAGGTTCCTGACTTCCTGTCCGTCTCTCCTCAGTGTGTTCCTTCATCTGCCATGTCTCCTGTAAAGACCACGCCCCCCTGGTCTGTCCAATCCCAGCAGAGCAGGCCAAGAGGCCGCAGGGCATCGACGTCCAGAGAGGCATCGGCACCGCCTATAAGGGCTATGTCAGGGTAAGTGATGAGTGATGAAGTACTGACGCAGTACTGACATAGTTTTACTGCAGTTCCACAGACTCACGTGTCGCCGTCTCTCTGTCAGATCCCGAAGCCCAGCGGGGTGAAGAAGGGCTGGCAGCGCGCTTATGCCGTGGTCTCTGATTGTAAACTGTTTCTCTACGACATCCCAGAGGGAAAGTCCACCCAGCCGGGGGTGGTGGCCAGTCTGGTGCTGGATCTCAGGTAACTGTCTACCTGTCTGTCTGTCAATCTGCCTGTCTTTCTTTCTGTCTGCACATAGATGGAGCATCTGAGGTAGTCTGGGACCCCTCAAGAACTTCAGAGGACTTTGAAAAAGTTTCTTGTCCTTTTTATGAAGTTTCTTGAACTGTTGAGAGTTTTTGAAAAGCCTCAAGAAGATTCAGTTTGTCAAGGGTTTGGTTTGTCTCGAGAAGGTTTGGTGCATCTTGTAGTCCTGTCTTAAAAGGTTTGAGAAGGTTTTGGATGTTTTAGTTTGTCTCGAGAAGGTTGTATCATAGTCGAACAGTGTGATTTCCTCTTGGATTATCTTATGTGATGAACATTCTGTATTGTCAGATAGACTATATTGATTGATGATTGATATGGGAAATATTGTGGCGTGTGTAACAGAGATGAGGAGTTTTCCGTCAGCTCCGTCTTGGCATCAGATGTGATCCACGCCACCAGGAAGGACGTCCCCTGCATCTTCAGGGTAGGAGAGCTCGCCCCCTCTGACCCCTCGCCCTTTGACCTTTGACCTCCCTGTGTACTGACCCTTATTGTTGTTATTGCCAGGTGACGTCGTCACAGCTGATCTCACAGCTGTCCTCGGTGTCTCTGCTGGTGCTGGCAGAGAGCGAGGTGGAGAAAAGGAAGTGGGTCAGGATCCTGGAGGGTCTGCAGAGTATCCTGGCCAAGAACCTGCTGAAGAACCGACAGGTCCATGTTCCGCACGAGGCCTACGACGCCTCGCTGCCCATCATCAAGACCGCACTGTCTGCTGCCATTCTGGGTCAGTACCAACCTCCACTAATGACTACTGAAGGACTCTGAGTCTCCTGCGGCTCTGATTCTGGTTTTATTCTTTTAATGTCATCTTGATAAAAGTTTAGTTTGTTACAGAGAGTTCTGAGATTTTCATTTATTCTTTTATTCACTCATTCATTCATTTTATTTAAAACCTCAGAAAACTCTTTGACGGAGAACTCTAGTGCTGAGGTCCGTACATTAAATACAGACACAAGTAAAAACAAAGAGCAGTAGAAGTAAAGGCTGATAAACTACATCTAAAACAGGATTCTGCATAGACACGTAGCCGGATATTCACCTTTCCAGAAATGTAGCTACGCGGCGCAGCGATGCTGTATTTTTGGAAGCTAAAAATAATTTTTTCCCTCAGTGGAAACAAAAGTTTATTTACTTTAATTTCACAGATAAGAAACAATAAATTGTGAAGACAATAAAGCCTCCACAAAAATAGCATTTTAAGTCCTGTGTGTGATTTTTCCTGGCTTCATATGAGCAGAGGAAATGTCTGCTCATCGCTAGTATAATTTATACAATGTAAAATTTCATAGGCTTGTGCTAATAACGTTAGCATGTTGTATTTGATTGGAAAACGTGTTTAGTGTGAGACAGTTGTTTTGTCGGTGAACCTTGTGAGTCTTGAGGTGGCAGTGTAGGCTCTACACCGACGCAGAACCTACGCCGTAGTTACAGCATCAGTTCGATGCTGAAGTATAAATCCTGCATTCGAGTAGCAGCATGAACAGAACCTGCAGTGAAATAAAGGACGGTGTCGTCTGCATAAAGACGAAAGTTACAATCTGTCAACCTGACGACAGCTTTTAAATGTTTCAAAGGGTCTGTGGTTTATGAAAAGGTTTACTGGGGAGCGGCGGGTACAGAATGTTCTGTGAATGTTCTCTTTAATCAATCTTTAAAACCTGAAATTCTTACTGGTTAAACTGTGTTGATGATATAGAATCAGTCACTGGTGATTCTTAAAGATGTTTTCTGTCTCTGCAGATCGGGAAAGGATCGCTCTGGGAACTGAAGATGGACTGTTTGTGGTTGAGGTCACCAGAGACGGTGAGACGGACAGACGGACAGACAGGCAGACAGAGACACACAGACGGACGGACAGACGGTAGATATCCACCACATGTCTAACCTCTGTGTCTCTCTGCAGTGATCGTGCGAGCGGCCGACAGTAAGAAGGTTTGTCAGATCGATTTGATCCCTAAAGAGAAGATCATCGCTCTGCTCTGCGGTCGGAATCGCCACGTTCACCTTCATCCCTGGGGGGCACTGGAGGGCGCCGAGTCCGCCTTCGACATCAAGCTGGCGGACACCAAAGGATGCCAGGCTCTGACGACGGGGGTGCTCCGACCCGGAGGCCCCGCCTGCCTGCTGGCTGCCGTCAAACGTCAGGTCACTGAACACCCTGAACACCTGCAGATGTCCCTGTAGCCCCGCCCCCTTGCTGTGGCGGTCCGGGTCTGTTCTAACGCTCTGGTTCTGTTCCTGCAGGTTCAGTGCTATGAGATCACTCGAGCGAAGCCCCACCATAAGAAGCTGTGGGAGGTGCAGGCTCCGGGCGCGGTGCAGTGGTTGGGCATGGTGAGGGAGCGGCTGTGCGTCGGGTATCCTTCGGGCTTCGCTCTGCTCGCCCTGCAGGGGGAGTCATCTCCCATCAGCCTGGTGAGCCCCGCCGACCCTTCGCTGGCCTTCCTGGCCCAGCAGCCTCTGGACGCCCTGCACGCCCTGGAGGTGGGATCCTCCGAGCTGCTGCTCTGCTTCAGCCAGCTCGGCATCTACGTGGACGGACAGGGACGCCGGTCCCGAACCCAGGAGCTGATGTGGCCTGCAACGCCGCTCGCATGCAGTACGTCATTTATTCTACAGATAGTATGTCATCATGGAGGTAAATCAGGTCAGACAGGTGTAGCTGATTGTCAGGTGAGGTCAGACAGGTGTAGCTGATTGTCAGGTGAGTTCAGACGGGTGAGTTCAGACAGGTGAGATCAGACAGGTGTAACTGATTGTCAGGTGAGTTCAGACAGGTGGGTTAAGACAGATGTAGCTGATAGTCAGGTGAGTTCAGACGGGTGAGTTCAGACAGGTGAGATCAGACAGGTGTAACTGATTGTCAGGTGAGTTCAGACAGGTGGGTTAAGACAGATGTAGCTGATAGTCAGGTGAGTTCAGACGGGTGAGTTCAGACAGGTGAGATCAGACAGGTGTAACTGATTGTCAGGTGAGTTCAGACAGGTGGGTTAAGACAGATGTAGCTGATAGTCAGGTGAGTTCAGACGGGTGAGTTCAGACAGGTGAGATCAGACAGGTGTAGCTGATTGTCAGGTGAGTTCAGACAGGTGGGTTAAGACAGATGTAGCTGATAGTCAGGTGAGTTCAGACGGGTGTAGCTGATTGTCAGGTGAATTCAGACGGGTGAGTTCAGACAGGTGAGATCGGATAGGTGAGATCAGACAGGTGTAGCTGATTGTCAGGTGAGTTCAGACAGGTGGGTTAAGACAGATGTAGCTGATAGTCAGGTGAGTTCAGACGGGTGTAGCTGATTGTCAGGTGAATTCAGACGGGTGAGTTCAGACAGGTGAGATCGGATAGGTGAGATCAGACAGGTGTAGCTGATTGTCAGGTGAGTTCAGACAGGTGGGTTAAGACAGATGTAGCTGATAGTCAGGTGAGTTCAGACGGGTGTAGCTGATTGTCAGGTGAATTCAGACGGGTGAGTTCAGACAGGTGAGATCGGATAGGTGAGATCAGACAGGTGTAGCTGATTGTCAGGTGAGTTCAGACAGGTGGGTTAAGACAGATGTAGCTGATAGTCAGGTGAGTTCAGACGGGTGTAGCTGATTGTCAGGTGAATTCAGACGGGTGAGTTCAGACAGGTGAGATCGGATAGGTGAGATCAGACAGGTGTAGCTGATTGTCAGGTGAGTTCAGACAGGTGGGTTAAGACAGATGTAGCTGATTGTCAGGTGAGTTCAGACGGGTGTAGCTGATTGTCAGGTGAATTCAGACGGGTGAGTTCAGACAGGTGAGATCGGATAGGTGAGGTCAGACAGGTGTAGCTGATTGTCAGGTGAGTTCAGACAGGTGGGTTAAGACAGATGTAGCTGATTGTCAGGTGACTTCAGACGGGTGAGTTCAGACAGGTGAGTTCAGACAGGTGAGTTAAGACAGGTGAGTTCAGACAGGTGAGTTAAGACAGATGTAGCTGATTGTCAGGTGACTTCAGACGGGTGAGTTCAGACAGGTGAGTTCAGACAGGTGTAGCTGATAGTCAGGTGAGGTCAGACAGGTGTAGCTGATTGTCAGGTGAATTCAGACAGGTGAGTTCAGACAGGTGAGATCAGACAGGTGTAACTGATTGTCAGGTGAGTTCAGACAGGTGGGTTAAGACAGATGTAGCTGATAGTCAGGTGAGTTCAGACAGGTGAGTTAAGACAGGTGCAGCTGATAGTCAGGTGACTTCAGACAGGTGAGTTCAAACAGGTGAGTTAAGACAGGTGCAGCTGATAGTCAGGTGAGTTCAGACAGGTGAGTTAAGACAGGTGTAGCTGATTGTCAGGTGACTTCAGACAGGTGAGTTAAGACAGGTGCAGCTGATAGTCAGGTGAGTTCAGACAGGTGAGTTAAGACAGGTGTAGCTGATTGTCAGGTGACTTCAGACAGGTGAGTTAAGACAGATGTAGCTGATTGTCAGGTGAGTCCAGACTGGTGCAGCTGATAGTCAGGTGAGTTCAGACAGGTGAGTTAAGACAGATGTAGCTGATTGTCAGGTGAGTCCAGACTGGTGCAGCTGATAGCCAGGTGAGTTCAGACAGGTGAGTTAAGACAGATGTAGCTGATTGTCAGGTGAGGTCAGACAGGTGAGGTCAGATAGGTGTAGCTGGTTGGTCTCTTGTGTCTCAGGTATATCAGTGTGAATATTTGGCAGTTGTATCTGTTTGCGGTGTTTTATTACGATGGTCAGTGTCAGTTGTTGATCAGTGTTAAATATCAGGTGAACTTGGTGGCGGTGACGTGTTATCACATCATAAAGGTATTAATCAGTATTGACAGGTTATTGATCACCTGTCTGTGTCTACAGGCTCTAACTCCTCCCACCTGACGGTCTACAGTGAGTACGGGCTCGACGTCTTCGATATTCACACCACAGAGTGGGTTCAGACCATCTCCCTCCGCAAGGTAACCAATCACAGCTCAGCACCGCTCTGAGCTGACCAATCACAGCTCAGCAAACAGCCACACACAGTTTAGAACCGGCCAATCATGTCTCTGTCTCCGTGTCCTCAGATCCGACCTCTGAATGTTGAAGGGACATTGAACCTGCTGAGCTCTGAACCTCCTCGTCTCATTTACTTCAGCAACACATCATCAGGTAACCACGGACACACCTGGACACTGAGCACCACCTATCTGTGTCCACCCTGAAGCTCACCTGTCTGCACCTGTCTGTCTCCACCTGTCTGTCCTCAGAGGGTGACCTCACCATCCCGGAGACGTCGGACCACAGCAGGAAGTTGATGGTTCGAACTCGCAGCAAGAGGAAGTTCCTGTTTAAGGTTCCTGAGGAGGAACGACTTCAGCAGAGGAGGTGACTCACATGTGTACATGTGTGTGTACTGTGTGTACTTTAGTGTGTAATGTGTGTGAGTACATAAGTGTGTAATTTGTGTGTGTGTGTGTACTTTGGTGTGTAATGTGTGTGAGTGCATAAGTGTGTAATGTGTGTGTGTGTGTGTACATAAGTGTGTAATGTGTGTGTGTGTGTGTGTGTTGTGTGTAGGGAGATGCTGAGGGATCCGGAGCTCAGGTCCAAGATGATCTCTAATCCTACAAACTTTAACCACGTGGCTCACATGGGACCAGGAGACGGCATGCAGGTCCTCATGGACCTCCCTCTGGTAACTCCTCCTCCTCGTCCTCTTCCTCCTGCCGGCATGTTCTCCTCCCCCACCTCCTCTCCCCTCCAACAGCTCTGTTCATCACACTGACTCCTCCTCTCTGCTCTCCTCCTCTTCCTCCTCCCCCTGTCTCACCTTCCTCACCCCCTCCCCCTCTTTGACCCCCGGTGTTCAGGTTTGTGATGTCACTTCCCTCTCCCCCTCCCCGTCTCCTTCCCCCTCCTCCTCCTCCTCCCGCCACACCCTCATCTCTCCCCCTTCCAACTTTGAGCACATCTATCACATGACGTCGGCGTCGGCCGGCGCCTTCTTGCAGAAAGACGCCTCCTCTTCCTCCTCCTCCCAGCAGAGCCTCCTGCAGCCTTCCTCCTCCTCCTCCTCTCCCTCCACCTCCTCTCTGGGAAGGGTAGGCCAGCTTCTCTCTATCTCCCCCACTTCTCCTCCCCTCTCCTCCCCCCCCAACTCCCACACTCCCCTCCTGCCTGGTCTGTGGTGGTTGGTTTGGTTTGTGTGAAGTTTGAAACATTCGCCAGGTTGATGCTGCGTTCACATCTGCAAGCATTCACACCTGAAAGCATTCACACCTTAAAGCATTCACACCTTAAAGCGTTCACACCTTAAAGCGTTCACACCATAAAGCGTTCACACCTTAAAGTGTTTAAACCTTCAAGTGTTCACACATCAAGTGTTTAAACCTTCAAGTGTTCACACATCAAGCATTCACACCTTAAAGCGTTCACACCTCAAGCGTTCACATCTTAAAGCGTTCACACCTTAAAGCGTTCACACCATAAAGCGTCCACACCTCAAAGCATTTAAACCTTCAAGTGTTCACACATCAAGCGTTTAAACCTTCAAGTGTTCACACCTCAAGCGTTTACATCTTAAAGCGTTCACACCTCAAGTGTTCACACCTCAAAGCGTTTAAACCTTCAAGCGTTCACACCTCAAGCGTTCACACCTTAAAGCGTTCACACCTCAAGTGCTCACACCTCAAAGCGTTTAAACCTTCAAGTGTTCACATCTTAAAGCGTTTAAACCTTCAAGTGTTGACACCTTCATGGGTTCACACCTCAAGCGTTTAAACCTTCAAGTGTTCACACATCAAGCGTTCACACCTTAAAGCGTTCACACCTCAAAGCGTTTAAACCTTCAAGTGTTGACACCTTCATGTGTTCACACCTCAAGCGTTTAAACCTTCAAGTGTTGACACCTTCATGTGTTCACACCTCAA